ACAGAGCTATGCCAAGTTCCCTCTTGCCACACTCCCCATCTGCCATATGGAAGGGTGTTCATAAAGCCCATAGCTGTCCTGKCTTTCAGAGAAAGTGGCAARGTCCAGTCCATTGGGTGTTGGAATTCKGCACTGTAGAAGTACCAGGCTCCTAATGCCTTATGGATAATGGCAGAACTCATTTTAGTTCTTCACCTTTCCTTCACAGCAGGAAGAAACCAACTCAGCACAAGTGAACAACTGCACTGGCACAAAGAACAACCCCAGCTGCCAAACTGAGTGTGGAGACAAGAACAGCACAGGACAGGAGATGGGGTGTCCTTCATACTAGAGCTGCACTATTGTCCTGAGACACAAATGGGGTCATAGCTTCTTGGCCCTTCCTTATTCAGTGCAGGGATTTTATCATTTAATCAAAAAATCTTGACAATCATGAGTAGGAGCATTCAAATTACAAGGCAACAGTAACTGTGTTTTTCAATTTTCTTGTGCAACACACTCCAAACTCAAGTTTGTTTTGACCAAAGAAAGTGTTCTGAGTTTCTTCASTGGGATTTATGGACACACCTTTGGGGATCCATGTACTCCACCCTGCCTTACTTACTGTCCAATTGAGGCTGATGCAACMAGAGCTGGACAGGTTTGAGGAGAACCTCATTGCAACGACCCTCACCCCTGGCACCAGTGGAAGGACTGAAACTCAGCTTGAAAGAGAGAGGGAGCTGAGCAGGTCATTCTGCTAGATAAGCAGGAACTRCACTTGTGTGTGATAAAAGGACCCCTTAATTGGAAAAAAAAAAACAAAAAACCCCACCCTGAAATTTCTTTTAACCCAGTTATGGCTACGAACCAGCAAACACCACTGACCTTCCTTTTCTTACTGGAGAAGTCTGMCTGGGTTGCTCCACAGCTGCCTCTCCATCCAGCTGAGGGTGTGGTCTGACACCCACTGCTGCCTTTCACAAGCTCCCAGGTCTGTAGGGCAGCCTTGTGGTTGTGTAAACCAGGCTAAACAGGATTTTGTAGCCCTGTCCTACAGTCCTCAGAGATATGGCAGCAACACAACAGAAAGAAACATGGAAAACATCTTTCCGAGGGTGATGCCATTCTAAAATGTCCACAGCTGAGGGATTCTCAATATCATTTACAGAAATACACAAACTCTTGAGAATCCACTGTTCTGAGCTCAAACACCCTGCAAACCCCCAAAAGTTTCAAAACTGAGAGTGTACTCAGGGTTCTCTCTTACATCCACTACAGTTAATTACATCCACTGCTCTGGGTTGGAGCAAACAGTAACAAAAAAGGGAAGGCAAAGGAGATTCAAGCCCTTTGTTTCTGTTACTCCTGTTTGCTGGAACTAATACAATAAAAATAGCTCCTCAATGGGCAAAAGTTTCTTACATAACTAAGAGAATTACAAAGAAAAGGAATGAGACCAGTACAACACAAGCACCTTTCTTGGTTCTATTTAAGRTGTGAGAGAAAGAAGAGAAAGAATGGAGTGTCAGAAGAAGAAAACAAAACATTCCAAAAAATACAGAAATTTGTGTTGAGTATCCCCTATACGAACTATTCTCTATGTTAAATTGACAGAAAGTACAGAAGAATTTGGGGAAATCTCAGGAGACAGATTCATCTTAGTTATGATTTCTTGAGGCTTCCAACTTCTTAGTGAGGAGCATTTGTTGTATTCCTCTCTTCTATTTGCCAARAGAGAAGACTGAATGTAGGCAGCTTCTCCAAATGCCTCTGTGTTACTAAGGCAAACATCCCACGACAGCTTAGAACAAAGRTATTCTTGTCAGAGCTGAACAGGCATTGTTTGGACAACTGTGGAGAAAACTTTTGTCTCTACAGAATAATAAGGCCCTACCTCCATTTTTCAATTACTGCAGGGAAAAAAAGAAGTGGAAGAAAATCCCTTCTCCCTGCAGACTACAGATGTAGGAGTCACAGAATCCAACCACTAGATACAGTCAAAAGTGGATGTCAGAGCTCAGCTACCCTGAAATTGTCCTCTCCTGCAGCTGATTTGCACCTTGGCTATTGATTCCTAATTACAGCTGCTTCACTTGCTGCTGCARGTCACCCTCCTGCCTGCACTGGGGGGTCAGGCTGTCTGAGGCACCTGCAAGCATGAAATGACATGAGACTGTGTCAGAGAGAAAACTTGCTACTGCAGGCTCCTCAGGCTCCTTTACAAAGCTCCTTTGCCTTCCATTTCTCCCTTTGAGACACTGCTCCACAATCTCACTCCAGTGGTTGAAAATCTAATTTCCAGGCTAAGTTTATTAATAGCAAATTTGTACCACTTTGTCCTTGTGCCAGCATTSATCTTTATTATAAAGGACTTTTCTTCCCCTCTAGTATTTGCTTGGCAATGAGGTGTTTACAGAGACATCCCATTCTCTCCCAGGCTTTGTTTTGTAGGCAAAACAAACTCCTCTCTTTTGGTTTTTACTTATCTGCCAAGTTATCTGTCCCTCATTCCTCCTCCCAGCCCCGTTCTGCACCTGCTCATTTTCTGAACTGAATCACATGCAGAGTTCTTGGCACACCCCTGCAGCWCAGTTGAAACCTCCCTGTTTGCAGCAGGACTGTCCCCTTGAAACCATCCTACAGCCATGTGAGCCCTGAGTCTTCTCCACCCCACATTCCTTCCAAATCTGGAGCTTCTCTGGCTCAGGCAGTGGTGACAGAAGGACAGTCTCCATTAGGCCCTCAAATCCCAGACCTGTTCTACTCAGAAGTTCAAAGCCCTTACCTGAACTCTGCAAGTTCTAAAATGCAGCCAAACAGATCCATCCACTGAACCYTCTCAGCTGCCATGAACGATGGGAACATCCTTCTAACAAGGCTCAGTTTCCCTCAGCCTTTCCTGCTAAGGACACATCCATTCCTTGCTTGTGGGCAAACTTCCTGCTGCCTGCATTTCACTGGGGTTTCCCTGTAGCTTTTAATAGCATAGACATAGCTGTGCTGTATATGTATATATATATATATATATATATATATAATTGTAGATATATCCCATATCCCAACCTTCGCCTCACCTTTCCAAGATCCACTTTCAGAATAAACCCAGACTGAGAACAATGGCATACAAAACATTTAAAAGCAAGCAAAGGCATTCTCATACATGCTTAAAGGATCAATATGGACATAGCTAGACCCAGATCTTAGCCTAGGRAATAAAGAATTTTTCCACAGCSCAGGTATRCTCCTCCACTGTGGATGCTACTCCCAAACTCAACCTATTTGTTTATAACAAATAATATAATGCTGCAGCATCAGTTCATTTTCTTTTAACTATATGGTGTAATAGCTGCATGAATTTAATTTACGACTGATATACCTTTCAACTATGCTGGGATCCACACTGGAATTTAGTTCCCCAAACCGTGGGTTCCCAGCAGTGTGTGCAGTGACAAAGGCTGAAAAGTAACCACATTTGACATTTCCTCTGGTGGAGGAGGCTCTGTGAAGTCCAACAGGGAGAGCAGGCTGTCCTGTCCCCTGTGAGGGGAAGGAGGGACAGCAGCTGAGCAGCACATTCCTGCCTCAGAAGGAGGATTACCTGAATTCCCTCACACCTGACATGATGTGTTACAAACAGTGCCAGGGAAGGGCAGCTGCTGCAGTGAAGGGATTTTCAGCACTTTCACTATGGACACTTGGGTTTAAGTCCTAGTGAGAGCATTCAAGACTTCTCTACCAACAGCACTCAGGGGCGCAGTGAAGAGGTCTTGCAGGGACAGGGCAGCAGAAAAACCCCAGCAAAACAACTTTTGGGGAAGAACTTCTTATAAGAACAGATTTTATCTTTAACTTGTTTTTTGAAAGAACATTGATAAAAGTTCCTGCCAAAGCTCCTTGGAACAGTCTTGCTTCTGGCAGCTCAGAAGCTCCATTCCAGAACTTCCAAATTTTATCCCACATGCATCATTATTACCTTGTCCTAATATGACAAAATCAGTGAAATATTTTATTACTTTTCAGATCATTAAGATGAACTGCTCTTTACTCCACAATAAAACATTACCCAGTGTTCTAGATTAAGGCATTGCTGAGTATTGTAATGGCAGTGCCAGATTCTCATTATATTGCAAACARGGGAGTTCTTGTTCTAGGGAATAAGATGTTTCAATCATATTAAGCAGCTGCTGATTAAAAAAAAAGTAACTAACTACTGTTTTTTATATAATATGCATACTGTGACCTGTTACTAGGCTTTACTTAGCAAATCAACAGGAAGCATCAGCAGTACAACAACTTAAAATGGATWTAACTCAAAACAAAAGTTCAGAAATCCCAGAGTAAAACATTTCTAAAACTCAAAATCTGGGACACAGTGTCCTCATAGGAAATTTTAAACATTATTTCATTCTGATTACAGGAAAAATAAAGAAAAAAGCCAAACAAGCTTTACAGCATCAGAAMTTCCCAGGAAACAGCAATTCTGAGTTAGGCTAATGTGCCTTAATTCCAAGAAGCTGGAGCAGGATTTTTTGCTAGGAACAAAGTCCAAGAAGATCTGGAGGGAGGGAATTCTGCAGGGATCCACACACAAATAGAGAGGTTACAGCAGGGGAGGCACAGCTGGTCCCAGGCTGAGCAGAGCCGTGGTGGAGCAGTGAGGCACTGYCAGAGTAGAACAGCAAAGAGAAAGGGGGTTCCCTGCACCCCTCTGCCCACTGGCTGCAAAGAGCAGCAGGTCCCACCTGGAACAAGTGTGGGGCTCTGTGTGTGGGATGTAGGATCCCATCCACATGGGAATGCTCACAGCCCTACTGGCAAGTGCCCACACCTTGCAGAGGGGCTCAGGAAAAAGCACAGCATCAGAGTGGGATGGGGCCTCCCTTCCTGAACCGGAAGATGCCAGCAAGCACCGACCCCTGCAAAGAGGGGATTCCAAGCAGTTACTTTGTGATCAGGACTCCAACAGGCTACAAGGCATTCATCTDGACCTCTCAATCTTTTAATTTTTGTGCCCATGACTACCCTGACCTTAACCCTGCCCCTACTTAGCATCAAAATTACATAATTACTACAATAATTAGTTAATTTAATACTTGACTTAATGCTAATTAATTATCCAGCTTGCACATGTTACAAAGACCACATCTCTAAAGACCAAATTTTCACTCTCAAAGTGCTTATGCCCTTTTTCTTCTCCACATAGGCAACAGGGGGTGGAAAAGCCAAAATAAATGAATAAGGAACTACCTCCATACTCTTAGCTTTATTGSTGGTCAATAGGGCACACAATCAAGCCCTGAAGTGGAACAGACAATATRTTTGCTGGAGTTTATTGCACAACCCAGGACCTGCATCACGTGCATGTGTGTGTTGCTGAGGTGGAAATAGTTGTGCTGCTGAACAAAGGGCTACTGTCTGCTGACACAAACAAGACAAAAAACCCACTGACCTAGAAGCTGAAGTACAAAATCTGCTTTCAGCCTGACTGCCTGCTGCCCATACACATTAAATGAAGAAGCTGTGTTTGAGTGAAGTATGAACTTAATCTGCTCTTTTCAAGCAGAGAGAGCACATGTCAGCACCAGGGCTCCACCCAGCAAACCCCACCAGCTGCCAGATCACTGAACGACAATGCCAGACTCAGTTGCCTTTTAGAGGGGGATTTTTCTATCACAAGGTTACTCCAAATTATCCAGCATAGAACAACTTATCCATGCAAGCCAGCAACATTGGCTGGGGGAGAGTTACACAACAAGATACTTGCGGGGGAGCAGAGTAGTGACAACTTAGAAACGGAGCAACCTGTGAGAAGTTTCTAAGCACTGTGGCAATACAAACACACCATGAGCTACCAAGGCTCAGAGAAGGACTCTAGAGAAGCAGCAAGCTCAAAGTYAAAAGGTGTGGTGCGAAGGTCACTGCTGGTAAGTGGCAGAGCAATCGATACAGGAGAGGAAAAAAGATTAACAACTTAACAGCCTCCAGTCCCCAGAAAGACTTAAATCAATGACTGGACGCTTGTTCCACAGAATACAAATACCTCAGAGCACCAGGTGTGCCAACTGGAATGACGGGGAGGACTCCACCGAGGTCAACAGAATTGTAACAGCTTGCTCTGGGTTTACATCTGGAACATCAAAGCACTATGCAAACCTAAGTAATTAATCATCAGCCAAATACCAGGTCAGGAATTTTATAATAATTCAAGCCTTTTTCAACAATCCAAGCAACTGTGTTCACAATCCAATCTTGCATGAGTATTCCAGTAAGAACTGAGGGTTTTGATGGCAGCAGTCAGTCTCCCACCAGCACCACTGGGTACTGCAGCTCCTGCAGCAGCTCAGGCTGTCAGGTAAGGACTCCATGGCCACAAGCACTATGCTACCAACTGATGGACATGTCCCACTGTGTGCATGCAGGTGTGCATATACAAAACACAGGAGACAAGCTGACCACCAGGAAAGGAGGAAGCAGATGGGGAGCTAAAACTGTTGATAGCAGCTGGATACAGTACAAATCAAAATCTCCCATTGCTGAGGACATCCCACTAGAAGCAGAGTTCTGCCTCCCCTATACTCACACACAGCCAAGCAACTTCTGTAGAAACCATGTTTATAGAAACTCAGACCAGTGGCATCTTTGTGACACAGTGAGAGTGCTCTGCTCTTGATCCACAGGAGTTCTGTGCTCTATCTGCTGTTGCTTGCCCATCACCTGTGGTCCCCAGGAAGCCTTTCACACTGGAGAAAGGCTGCTGAAGTACAGCATTGACCAGAAATTCTCAGTTTGCCTCCTGTATACAAYTTGCACCTTATAGAGACTCAGTCCCACACTTCTGCTTATGGTTTTAGAGTGGCAAAGCAGGAATGTGGCAGCACAGACCTTCCCTCCTAAAACCTCAGCTTCATTTTAACACACCCTTTCCCAAGAATCTTGTCTTCCCTAGAYGAGCTCCATGTAATGATTTCTTCACCTCCCCCTTCTTCCAAACAATCTGCCATTTGTGTGCTTCCAGGTCCTGCAGTGTTTAGCAACAACTGGCTGTACCAGTAACACACTGTGAAAATTACCTTCCTGTCAYATCCCAACACCAAGGCTCTAAAAAGTAAACATTTCTCTGGTAACACTCCCCACTGAGGAGTAACAATCRCTGCTTTCCTGCTCTCGAGGCACAATCATGCTTCCAAGGAACAGCTGGGATGTACACTATTTAAAATAGCAGTAAAGGGAGGAACAAGTACAGCTACAGCTGGGTTTGCCAGAACTGCCATTAAGAGCATTTGAGCTCTTGCTGTGACTCTCTGCCATGGTTCTTCTCTTGCTGCAGCTCAATTTCTCATCACATGTGCTGCCACTGGATATTTGGATGGCAAACTCTTCTTTGCCATGCTGCAAATTTCAGCCTAGGAGCTGAGACACTCTGCCATGGACAGGATGAACTCAGAACATCCCAGCTGTCACAAAAGAAAGGATGAAGTGTGAAACTACTTACGTAGACCTTTGAAGCAAGCTGAACCCAGAGCAAATATTTTATGGGGCCAAGGCCCCTTTCTCCCCAGGCCAGTGGTTGTTCACATGCAGTAGCTCTAAGGCCTTCCACCCTGCGGTAGCCTTGCTCATGGTTATCATTGTAATGCTGACAGTGCAGCCACCACTGAAATCACACTGATGCCCACTCTGCCCAAAATGCTGGGACGAGCACATAAGTCACAGAAGGGTGACCATTCAGGTGTGCTGGTGAAGGGAGCAGATGAAACAGAGCTCTAGAGCTAGAAGTTGCCACTTAAACCAAGTTACAGTTGTGACATCAACCACASCAAGAAGACAAACCACACAGACAGACCGCAGTATGTGGCAGCACTCCTCAGCACCTGTCTGCAGCACAGCACATTTGACACTCGTGCACTCAGAGCAGCAGCTGCTGCTGTGTGCAGGATGCACGTTCCCAGCCCTCTGCAGCAGCCTCTGGCACATTCTCATCGTGCTCAGAGATGCACTGGCTGCACAGAAGTGCTCTGCTCACTCCCATATCCTCTGGGTTTGCACTGGAAAGCAGCAAAGCTGATCTGGTTTATCAGCTGCAGCAGGGTGCTGAGTCCTGACACCAAAAGCAGATGAGATGAATTTCATAAAAGTGCCCCTGTGTTCACCAGAGACTGGATGGACCACAATGAGATTTGCCAGCTGCCAGGGAAAAGAAGCAGAGAAGGACTGTGATAAGGCCCTCTACAGAACAACACCTGAAACTTCTGACAATGAATTCAAAGCATATCAAAACATCTGTGGACGAGGAAATAGCCTGGAAAATCGATTAAGTCTCTCTTGGCACCTCATTATGTTCTTGAGTGTGAGAAAGAAGCCTTCTTTCAGTGGGTATTTGTTCYACAGGATGCAGGCTGGGGTGGAAATTGTAGTTTATTAAAACTTAAATACAGTTTTTGATAACTTTCCCAGACAAAAAAAAGTTAATGGAAGTTTTGGCTTGGTCTTCACGTGGGAAATGCGAGCTCTGTAAGCAGGGTGAGCTCTAGCAGYTTTATCCCACTCACCAGAGGCACAAGTATCACCTCTAACAAGTCTGAAGCACACAGTCCCCCTTACATTTCCCAAGCAGGGAGAGAAGGATGTGCAAGCAGCCTACAAAAATAAGTGCTGKGAGTTCTTTCCCTCAGAAATTAAGACTGTGAGGAAATATGGGAACAGACTACCACATGGAAGGTGCTCTAAGGAGAGGGAAGGTGCTCTAAGAGAAGGTGCAGCTGTTCTCCACCTCAGTACAGGGGAAGTGCTAGGTTTTAGCTGCATCAGAGCTGCCTGACAGAGGAAAACTTTGTAGCAATAGAACCACAAAGCACCAGGACAGATTGCATGCTAAAGTCGCTATCAGCACTGGGAGCCTTTGTGTCAGGCTGGRCAAACATTTGTCAYGAATGATGTAAGGCAAGTTGATGCYTACTTGGATGGGGAAATTGGGCTAGATGACTGTCAAGTTCTCTTCCAAGCCATTTTGATCTATGGCCCTACACCAAGGAATGAGTGCTGGCCAGTAATCCACACACACATGGTCATGTGGGTCCCCAGAGATGTCCTGTGCCACTCTAATGCAGTCACTCYAGTGTCAGTTCCTCACATGGAAAGMAGTCTCAGCCCAACAAGAGCCCAAGCTCAGCRGAGCATTGTGAAGATAAAGATATTTCTTTATCTCTCTAATGTCCCTGTGCAGGTCTCTTTCACCCCATATYTTGGGTGGAGACTGAAAGCATGGTCAGTACTTCAGGGTGCTCACATGGACATCACACCAGAATAAAAATGGTATCTCTGACCTCCAGCCCTAGAGGGGCTGTGGGCCTCCCATTCACAGCATGAGGTACATACAACCCCAGTCCTGTGTCACAGCTGTGAATCCTCTTCCAGCCTCCTGACACCAGTCCAGTGTGGAAGTTCTGTTTCCCGGCAGAGGAGCTGAGGTTAAMGCCCCATTTGCAGCTGCACCTACACTTCAGCCCTGTGCTGACCCCACTTCTTGCCCTTCCTGCGGCCTGTGCCTTGCCCAAAGCAGGAAGGCTGAAGAGGACACAGCTAAACTGGGACCGCAGCTCCATCTGCAGGGCTCTGCCAMAGCAGCTCCGCCTCGGGGAAGGGCAGTGTCACCCCAGCAGATCCCACACAGCCAGTAACCCCCAAAACACAGATGTGAGCACACACAAACAGGCTCCTCAGGGTCTTTAAAACAAAGCCCCACTATGAAAGCATCACCTCAGGAATCAAATCACCATCTTGATACAATTCCCAAGACCCAGTAAATTCCCAGAAAATTCAGTGTATGGCAGATATTGGATTACACAGAATGCCGGGTGAAGCGTCAGCCTTCTATGGCTTCAGGSAGCAGCTGTGCCTCTGCAGAGCTCACGTGCTCAGGGTTCTGCCAGGGTCAGCTCAGCCTCTTCCCTCAGGCAGCACAGCCATGGCCCAGTGCTCCAACCAGGTTCCTTAAAACCATCAGCTCCAAAGGGCTTTGCAGTGCTGCTGTACCAAAAGGAGCCCGGGCCAATCTGTGTAAAGCACAGAGGAACACACTGTCCTACACCAGCACATTCCCTGGGATGCGAGTCCGACAGGAACATCCAGCCTCCTGGGAGGAACTGCAATTTTTCTTTCTATGAAAAGGTCAGCAGCACCACAAAATTTTCCAAGATATATAACCACTATGCAATGCAAACACATAGAAATGCAATMATTTTTATCAGTGTTTTAGCTATAAATACAGGAATTTAACACTTGTCCTACTAGACTAGACCAGCAGTCTGTCTCGCAGGGGACTTGTCCTGCTCAGAGCTCAGACAAAGGATTGACTGATGTTTSCAGGAAAAAGCACACTGCCTTCTGCAGCCCAGCCACTGGCAGTCTCAGAGAGCCACCTAACCCCAGCGTGCTGCAGGGAACCTGCCCACCCCCTGAAGAATGCAGTATGATGCTGTTTAACATCCCCATCAGCCCATGGACTTTTCAGGTGTCCTGCAGAAGCAGGATGTGTATAATGCTTTGTTTCACACACAAACACTGCTAACATCTGGCGAGAAATCTGAGAACTCATTTCTTCAAATTTCATTTTTAAACAGAGTCTGGCAAACTGATCTTAAAAAATACCCCTAAATTACTTTGAAAAAAAAACCTCCCACAAACACACAAAACAACACTTTAACTATACTTTGTACTCATGGCTCCAGGGGGCCAGAAATCAGCTGAGCTGAAACTGTATTTCCAAACTTAGGCTCAAGTGCACTTAAACTGATCTACTTTTGTTCTCTTTCTCTAGATTTCCTCCACTGTGTTTAACCAGGGCAAATACTACAGACCAGAGAACACTCCCAAATTCAAGTAAAGCATATACAGGACATGGTAAACTACTGGGGTGGATAAATGCAGTGTGAGATGTACAGTGGGTGAAAGGCCAGTCTATGAAYAGAGCTGTGGGTATGGGAGGGGTCCAGCTGGAACCCCAAGTGCTGGTTCATCMGGGAGAGCTCAGGGGCCTGTGGGAAAGCAGGGCCAATGTTCAGGAGTTAACAGGATGAAGGAAAGACTCATTTGGGGAGTGAGACTGTGGGAGAGGCACAGGGGGAAGGCAGCAGATATATCAGTGCTCATGGTAACACCCTCTGAATCTGCTGCAGACTTCCAACACTCAGTTTGCTGCTGCATGTGCTGCCTCATGTCTCTGGCTGTGCAGTCCCAGGTCAGCCTGGACAGAGTCTGACAGCCCCTCCCTGGCACACACACACTGCAGGGCCCTGTCTGGACAAACACTCCCACCCCTCCTGAGYGCTCACCTCCACTGACCCAGCAACTGCTTCTGTCTGGACTGGCAGACCAGATCCTTTCCTTGGCTTGCTTTCCTTCCTTCCTGGCTAGCTACGGTCCAGAAGGGAACTTGCACCACTGGAAACAGCAGCTCCAGCAAGCAGCAGCTTGAATTTAATCCTGCCATTTTTTATACTGACATGATGTCGACTGTCCATTTCAGAGACTTCTCTCARTGCTGTTTCAGGCAGCCCTAGTCTGAATCATCCTTCCCAAAGAGACAGACCTCAGCTACTGCCAGGCCTGTCAAGAGACTGGATCCTACTCCAAACTCAGTTCAGTTGAAATTTGTACAGGTAATTTCACCTGTTTTTCAACTTCTCCATCTGCAAAACTGGACTAGTGACGCTGAGCTTCTCTGTAAAGTCTTGCAATTAAATGCTTCTCATGGAATTTAGGCATTTCTGTTACTATCAATGTATGGGCRCCAGATGTTTATTCAGGCCTGCCAGCATCTCTGAAAAATTGAAGTGCAATTATTTTAAGGACTTTGATCTGAAGCACTATCTTTATTACAATGCTTTGACTGTTTCTGGCAGCATCCACCAAGTGTCAAGGGCTGTAAATTCAGGTGCTGTAACATGTGCACTCATCCTTCAGTGACAATCACCCTGCAGGAGTGGGAAACAAAAGCTGCTTTGCTATTGGAGCATCAGGAACAGAACTGCATTTGAAATGTGCAATTCAGTTATGCCCTGTTATACCTGCAAATCCATGTGCCAGTATAAGCCAGAGTTTGGACTCATCATTCCATCTGGTCACATTCTCTATAAATCTATCTCAAAGCCAGTTWAAAAAAAAAATAAAAATCTTTCTAGGCCAAATGGGTGATCTGGCACGCTGAGCAGTTGTATTTTTAATCTAGAGCTGTGAACTCTTCTGTCTTGGGTCCTGAGATTAATGAGTCACTTTAGCAAAGCAGACTAAAAAGTTTCATGCAGCTCCCTCAGGAAGGTGAAACACTTCCACATGCTCAGCTGAACTTCTGCACCTCTGGACCAAGTCTGTGTCAGGAAACGAGGGGTCTGTCACTGCAGGGAGAGTCCAACACTCCGGGGAATGGAGATTTCTTTCACAAGGCAAAAGGAGTTCTCAACAAGCTGTTCAGCCAGGCTCAGGAGCAAAGAGAGTCCTGCCTGCTACAGTTGTCAGCTGCTTTGTTTCTGGATGTGCAGAAACCTGGGTCTGTGGAAAAAAGAAAGACCAGAGCTTTAACTGTCACTAAGGACAATGCATCYCTACCTCCATCCTAGAAAAGCAGCAATTTTCCAATGACAACAACCCCACCAGAGTCAGTCACCCCATCAGAAACACTCATCTGTGTCAGAATTTCTGACTCAGAAACACTTGCCAGGCTGTCTCAGGGTATCAGAAGGCTGAGATACTACCAGGGAGCCCCTATTTTGTCAAGGACTGGCTTCAGCTCTGGAGCTTGTGTGGCTGAGTTCATTCAATACATAAAGGTGGAAGGACATACTCTACAAATGACACAGACCTGCAAAATCTGAAGGCAATAAAATACTTACTTGCCACAGAAGTCCTTGTGAATGGCACGAAGGGTGAGCAGTAAGTTTGGGTGTGCTTGTAGCCAGCGCTCCACCATATTTGGATGCCTGGGATCAACTTCCAGAAATACACTCCTGAAAAGACACGTTTGGGAGCAGAAGTGGGGAGATGTACATTTAGGTTGCTAAACTGATAAAAACTAAGATCTTTATTCCTAGATGATTCTGACCAGTACAGGAAATTAAAAGGCCATCAAACATCCTGCAATCCAACAATCCTAAACCAGACCACAGCTGTCAACATGCAGGTCCCAGCTGCCTCCTTCAGGGAAAAGTGTTGATCCTGGGAGGAATTCACAAGGTACTCCTGTATGTGAGCAATTAAAGCCTTGTATCGAGATGTGATGAGCCCTTTTGAAGCCCACCCAGAGACACCACCAGCAATTTCTGAAACCCCTGAAGATTTAAGGGCAGAAGGCAGTTTTTATGTTGCTTGAACACTGAGTACTGGCCTGGCAGCCTGAAGTCCCTCTGGGTATAAGAAGCAAGAGASACAAAGTGAGGTCAATACACACATTTTTCCACAGTAAATGTCTCCATAAATCACTTAGGAAAACACCAGCAGCATTCAAGCCTAGACAGAACTAATCAAATAACCTCAGTCAGGGCACCAGCACCAGGCCTGGACACTGCAGGGCTATTTCCATCTCTGCCAGGCTTTCTGACACTGGGTCATTCCCCATGTGCTCTCCCGTGACAAAGCAGAACCACCCCAGCTCACAGGCAGTAATGGAGCTGGTTTTGGCCTGGGACAGCACAGCAAGAGACAAGTTTAGCAGGCAAAGGACACAGGCCAAACCCGATCAAATGCTCTCCTGAGAACTCTTAAAACATCCCACACTGAATACTCCCTAGAAATTCACCAGGCTAACTACAAGCTGGGTGTGGATCTCATTTCTGACCTTAAAAAAYTTCCACTCCTCAATGGGGGCTCCACCTCATTAAACAAGCAAAAAGAGAAGGAAAAATAAATAATCTTAACAAACAACCCCACAGGACCAGTCTATTGCTGGGAAGTTCTGAGGAGCATCTTCTGCTCTTGCGGTCATGCAAAGCATGAGGAATGAATTCTGCATGCAGTATGCCTCTCAACATTCCCATTCTTCTCAAAACAGCAGATTTTCAACGACCTCTCTTATGCTGGTCAATTGTCAGGAACATTCAGCAGGATGTGTGAATGCCCTGGCACATGAACAGTACACTCAGACTTTTGGGTATCAGCACGYTAATCTTCAAGATGGATGCCACATGACAGAGAATAGAACAATCAGTCTTGAATATTAATCATGGTGAATTTAACATTTRAGAAACTGTCTCTGAGTGATCTTCTTTCTCCTGGGATACTCAGCATTGTATACTGGCACAACAAACATTAAAGTGTGGGAGGGAAGCAGAGATCTACATCCATCCTCAGAGAGCTCTACATTGTTTCYCCTTCAATCAGTTGTTCACCTTAGAAAGCTCTCCTGCTTTTTGCATTCTCTTTCTCGGCTGCTCTCTTCCATGTTCTTTTTGTTGCTCTTTGACCTTAAAAGATTCCCCCTTCACTAATGACCAGGAAACACCACCAACAGCCAAGGAAGACTCATATCCCTTTATTAACTGATTTCAAGCTAAGCTTACACACATGACATTTTTAAACCTGCTATTATTAAATAGGGCAATGAGRGGAAGATTTTGCAACTATTTCCCCTCTGTTTTGTTTTCATACAGGGAAGCACAGAACTTATAGAAGRGGATGGATGAAAGACATGAAATTCAAAAGAGGGCAGTACTTACCCAGAAACTTTCAGAAGAGAAGGAGCCAAAGCCAGAATTGTTTTGATGACTCTCATGCCATCATCTCCTCCATCTAGGGCATCAAGGTCCTCATAGCTGGAGGGTGGGAAGAAAAAGACATTTGACAGAAATTCCTGCGGCCCTTGAGAATGTATCAGTTCACAAAGAAAGGTGCACCTAAYACACCTGAACTCCAGTGCTCCCAGAGTAGGTGACAGCACTCACCCCTGTTARGGGAGATACAGGGAAGAAGAAAGCACCTATCTACCTAGGCTGAGAGACCCCACATTTAGCCCAAGCAGAAGACATCACCCTATGTATTTCTGAAAATCAAGAGCCAACTCTAGCTGGGATCTCACATTTCTAACAGATAGGTCTCCTCTCTCTAAGCTGGCCAGAGAGAGAGGGGATTGTACAGCAAGGACCATTGCTTGATTTCAACCATGCCAACCAYGAGCTCAGGCTGTGACTAACCTAGCAGAGACAGCTGGGATGCAGAAAGCTCAGCTGTTAGAACCTGCTCTGTTGCATATCTTGGGGAGGCAGGACTCTCTCCTTGTGCATGACAATCAACTTTGGATTAGGAAGTGCTAATTTAAAACCATGTGCTTTTTCCATTTTAATAAATCTTTCAAACACTTCCATATTTCTCTAGGCCTGTAAGCAGTATCAAAGTAAGCCTGTATTTCAATATCTCAAATAAACACACCTACACTTCATATGTGCATATTACATTTGCATGTTTCATGTGCAATCGTGTGTAGTACAAGGAAGCAGACAGAAAACCTTGCTGCAAGGAACAGGAGAGGAAAAATCTCTTTGTCTGATTACCAGAGGATTTCTGTGTCCAAGGAAGCCATGTCTTCATGGAAAACATATGGGGGGTTACTGACTATGACATCTATGGGGCCCCAGAGCAGTAGCTGTTTGGCAGAACCTAGAAAAGAAAAAGAAGCACAACCAGCTCTCAACCACRGCATTTTCCCTAAAAGCTCAGTGTCAACACTCTCCCCAGGAACTGTCTCCAGGCACATGTAAATGTGTTTGGCTCTGCTTTCCGATAATAAAATTTTATCCTRTTTCTTTCTGCAATAGCCTGCTCTGTTCCCTCCCCCAGGAATGCAAGAGTCATACAAAGCTAAGCACATGCAAAGTATAATTTTTTTGTATCGAGAGCCTGYTTAGCAGAACATGTTAAAAAGCTCRGAGCTTGATGCCCTGGAGCTCTGTGCACACTTGGACCTAAAGCAACAACCAGAACTCAGCCCACAAAAACCTAAGTGGAAGCTCAGGCTTGCTGTCCAGATGAACATCCTTCCTCTTAGGGCTGTAGCAGGACCTCCAATGAGCACCAGGGCTCCACAGCAATAACAACAATAGGTTGCTTTTCTGCAGACTAGGAGCAGCACACTGCACTCCTGCTGCTGTCTGACACAGGCCAGCCCTGAACCAGACCTTGTGTAACCACGTGAGTGTGGCATTGTCATCAGGCTGCCGCCTRGAACAGGGTTTTGACCTCTAAGAGATAGCACAGTGTCAAAAACAAGWGTCAGAAGGGTGTTTTAATGAACCCACAGTGCTGCAGCTGTTGATTCCACAGCTATCAACAGCCAAGCACTATCAACCTAACTGGATAGGCCCCACCAAATTGTAAGTTTTAACTGGTTTCAGCTGGCTCTGGGAAAGTCAAGTATCCTTTCCTGGTTCAACGAATCTAATTTCAGGTGAATAAGGTTGGGCATTTAATCCAGGCCAAATATCTGGGCTCCCTCTAACACCAATGGAGAGACAGGCATGCACATGTTTATCTAAGGCATCCATGTCAGCATGGAATGAATTACACTCTGTATGTATTTGCCACTCCCCAGTAACAGTAAAGAGCACCTGGACTCCYAGCTCAGACACAATCTTGGGACACCTAAACCCAAGAACAATGCCCCTTCTGATGTAGTCAGGGATGTYTCCCAGCTGAACATGTGCCATGGAAATCTCTGAAGGTAAAAGCTTCACTGGCTCACTTCTTACTGACCTTTTTCTCTATTAACTTGAACACTCTTCTGCTGCCTGCATCCCATAGGGGTCCCTTGGCTGTCTCTCATGCCTCCCTCCACCCATCAAAGAAAAAAGGGGTAAAAGACAAAGGGGATTAGAACACTGAAAACAGTTACAGTGTGAAACATCTTGGTGGATGATGTGAATCCTTTCCTGGAGTTGCAGCCTGTAAAATTCCAGATGCAAGAACAGAAAGAAGAAAGATTAGGTTTGTGTGGATTCATAAACAGTACATTCTACAAACAGATAATTAAATATTGTTCCTCTTATCTGATACACATACATTCACAACTGCCAAGGTCTTCCCAGCATATTCTCCCATCACAATGGCTTTTCACCCAAGTTCTATTCCCTTTGCTGAGGGCCTAGGGTCCTGTCCTGTGAGGATACACAGGCATCAGGGAAGGGAGGGKTTCCTGCACTGTGTGCCACGTGCCCAGATGGATCTGGCACTGGGATTGGTACAGTAAGACTCACCTAAGCATTTAGAGAACACAGCTGGGACAAGGGAGCTCTGAAAAGCAGGCAGGACCTAAGCTGGGTTTAGTCAAGCAATAACACAGCTTATCCTGCTGGCTTCTCTCCTAARAGCTACAGGGCACCATGCCAGGGACAAGATCACAAAGACACAATGAAAATATCCATGGAGAAATATGAAGTTCTCTGACATGGCATTTACACTGCCTCATCCACTCTTGAGCCAACAAGCAATGTTAATAAGCAAGACAATTTTCTCCAGAGGCCAGAGTTACAATTTATCGAGGAGGCAAAGATCTGGCCAGCTTTTATTATATCTATGAAAAATTGCAACAGAATTTGGTTTGACACTGATATATTAGGAATAAACCTCTGCTCCCCATTCCCTGTAACTGGGCTAGGAGGTGAAGGGTGACAGTGAAGTGACACATATGGGAAGGGCTTTCTCCTACTCAGCTCTTCAGGATCACTRTGAGCTTCACTGGTTGCAAGAAGTGAAGAGATGCAGCCCAGTGCAGCCAGCACCAGAAGTATCCTGTCTCTGTAGCCCCAATGCTAGCAGCAGCTTGGGAAAAAAGGGGTATGTGGGCCTGTGGACAAAAATCCCAGTTAATGAGCACYTCTTGAGACTCGCAGCTGTACCGGACTCCATGAAAAATAGCAACAGGAAATCTTTCTGAGATGGCTCTAATTAATGCCTGGGGCCCAGCAGTTACTGAGGACATGGATGCAATCATTTCACAAAGCCTATTGAGACTCAGAAGCATATTGGGATTCCAGCTCTGGGGATCACTGTGTTACAGAACAGTCCAGAACCAGAGAAGTGGAGCCACTAGGAAGGACAAGGACAACCTGACAGACATCTCTCTGACTTCAGCACAAGGTGTTTGAGCCAGCAGCTTTGAACATCCATCCAGCCACAGCACAGGATCTAGCAATACCATTCCCATCAAACCACAACTGCAGGGAGGATGCTGAGGGACACCACACAGCACATCAGAGAAAACGTGTTACTTGACTGTGCCAACATTGCTAGAGGAGCAAGGACAGAAACAAGCACAACAACGATGACYGGGGGAGCCAGAGACAGAAGGGTTCAGGCTACGCTCTCCCTTAACCTCCCAAGTGACATAAATGCTCCTAAGTTCATAGAAAGGGATAAGAGTAGCTACCAAGGAACACTAGAAAAGCCTTGACAAACARCATGAGAGTACCACTGCTTTACTTAGGCTGCTGTCTTTCCAAAGCACTTTCACAAGTCAAGAAAAACCCTCTGGAAAATGTAGGCACTTTTTTATTAATTGTTACATACTTTAGGAGCGGAACAACTAAACATTCTCTGGTTTCCAGTGGTGATAAACATGAACCCCATGTTCACCCCAGTGTACAAGCACTGAGGAATTTTTCTCAAGCAACAATTTACCAAAAAAAAAGAGTAATATGTGGTCTTGTACCTATGTGCGTTCTCCCGGGTGAGATCCACAGCAGCTTTGTCTTTATCCATGGCTATGACTCTGCTCTGGAACAGAAAAAAACAACAAACCCCACTAAGCACATGTTACAACATCAAGATTCCCAAGCAGACATGCTCTGCCAAACATACAAACTTGACAAGACACCACTCACTCTGGGCTCCTGAAAGGAACAGCTCCTGACTACTTGAGGAATGCATGAACTGCATGAACAGCTCCTGAGGAATGCACCTAGGGCACAGCTGGGATCACAAGTGATGTGTGGAAGGCACCAAGGTGACTGAAGGCACTCTGCAGCACAGCTGATAGCCCACCAGAACAGACGTGYCATAGTGACCCACATCACCTGATCCCTCACTGCTCCTGCCACAGTGAGACTCAACACTGGCTAGTCTGGGCTGTGGACAGGCTGGAGGAAGGTCATGTTGTTGGCTTTATCCTCCCTAATCCAGACAGGATCCCTCCCAACACTAGCATAGCCACTTGGACAGAGATTCTGGCATTTTCTATCTGTTATGCAGACACCTTTTACCCAGTTACTCCACTGCAGTCCTTACACCATATTCACTGGGTGTATTGACTGCACGTACTTGACTGTGTGTCAAGTATTTGAGAGCTCTCCAGCATAATGGTCAGAGACAGGGTTGCACAGCTAAAGACTTGTTTGACATTCCATTCCACCTTGGGAAAACTACAGGCAAAGGTCTAAGAGGGTTTTGCTTTGCTCAGTGTTTTTTTAAGCACAGAYGTTGGTAAGGATTTACACAGAGAACACAYGCTTGAAGAAACTGCTTTGCATTTGGAGATGATGTGATTGGCCATCACTCTTAAATGGATTAATTTCTTGGTCTCAGGCGAGCATCCACACACATGAAGCTCAACCTTAAGGTGAAGCACACAGCTCAGACCGTAAACAAAAAGTTGCTGCTGTCTTCACAGKAGCCTCAGTGCCAAATTCTGCCTCAAACACTAAGGAGATTACCCAGAGTGTAACTCCACTTAGCTGTCAGTGTGGCTACCACTAAATCTAATCAGTCAAGGCTCCTTATTTCCTTGGGCACTGCAGTTTGGGCTGGGAAAGGACTGTTATGAGTTACACAGACAGACTGACATAGCTCTAAGTTAACAAGCAAGRAAAAGAGCGTGAAGTTCTTCTTCTAGCTCAGAAAATCAGAGCAATGACTCTGAAGTCAAGAAGCTCAAGTATTAACCTTCTCAGGTCACTGGGAGGAGGAACAYCCCTTCCATTAGAGTCATCAACCTCTAATTCTTACACAGCAAGGCTTATACATCTACAAGAGGAGGGGCTGGTCACAGTAATTACCATTCCTGAGAAGGAACTGGCTGRTCTGTAGTTCTGAGGAGTGTGGAATACTTTTCCCTTAACCRCATGCAATGAGAYTGAATGAAATGGAATCCTGGATTCATTTCTCGTTTTCTTTACCAAGAGTATCTCCATAAACACATTACACACCACAAGAATCAGGCACAAGAAAAGCTTTGGTCACCCAGATCTGKCCTCTTCCTGCTCATTTCACTCTGTTCAGAAGCTGTCAATTGTTACTAGGGAACAAAAGACTTCAAAAACATGGTCTGGCAGTTGTGGCAGTGAGATATGCTTGTCTTATTGATCCCAAGTACTGACACTGTTATGGTACCCCTTTCCTGTGTCATTTAGTCTTCAGTTTCCTAAATACAAGATCTTTTGATTYACAGCAAGTTGATTTTTAGAGATGACTGCCCCATAAATTCAACTCACAGAGTGTGTGCCCATGCCTCAGTCCCTCCAGTCCTCAGTCCAGRTTAGTATCTTAAACCCACACCCATCAATGCTTCAAGCTAAGGTGATTAATAGTGAGCTGCAGCAGCTCAAGAACAGGCACATTCACTTCTTTCATTCTGCCATTCCTGCAGACAGATGGGAAGAGGGACCAATTCCCAAATATCCCTCCTCTAACTACTATGAACTACAGAAACTAAATGACAGACCTGAGCTGCCAAAATTCCATCAGAGAAGTTTGTCACATCTCAATGAAGATGAGCAGAGTGGAATTGTCCTCTAACACAGGCATCTATGGTACCAGGAGCATTGAAGGGAGCTCACCTGGGGCAGTTTGCAGAGCAGACTCAGAGCAATTGCTCCAGAGCCACAGCCAATTTCCAGGATCACAGGATGAGGAACAGAAACTGGGAAACAGAGGGCTGAATTCTCACATTTCTGAAATTCTTCCTCCACAACTAAAGAGACGAGATCCTAAAAAAAACAAACAGAATTACTAAGGGAGCTGTTTTGTCTCACACCTTTGTGATCTGACGACTTCAGTTTAAATTTCTTGACTCTGTACCCAACAAAATGTATTTTTGTTAATTTTAAAAACACAGATTGTAGCAATGGAACTGACATGCCAGAAGTCACTTCAGCTCCATCTGCCCCACAGGGTTCTTTGATTAGTAACCAGATCCTCAGGATACAATCTCCCACAGATCCTCTGAAATCTTCTAGCACTGTTRGGAAAAACAATAACCAGACAGCTGGAGCACATTATCTTCTGCAACACATTTTATTTACTCCAAAATTTCAGCTTTCAGAATTTGTAAGCTTCAAAACTCAAGATTTTTACACAGTCTCAGTAGGGTAGGTGAGCAGGAGGCAGTTGCATAGCTCCTAAGAGCATCTAAACCAATAATCCAACCTGCAGATGAAAAGCCAAGGCAATGCGTTACTAAMTGATCCAAATGAGCAGCTCCCTGCATGGATTTCAGATTGTGGACTCCTACTATATTTTGTTGCTATAAAGTCACTTGGAAAACATTTTCATCCATGCTCCTGGATCCGTATGCAGCTCTGCCATTGCTGCCTCCTCTGCCCATCACTCTTTTAAAATCCCTTTGCCATGTTATATAAAATCCAACACAGCAGGAGAGGTCTCAAAGATATCTATGGTTTGTAAAAATGAGCTGTAAGAGAAAGCACACATGTGACTGCCTCAGACTGCAGCATGAACTTCCTTTGTTATTCCCTGGAGAAAACTTTAAGATGGAAACCTTAGGAACAYGCCTTGAGTGCATCAGCAGCTCAGCAGGTGCTCCCAGCTCCCTCTCATCCTTGTACTTTCAGAGCACAACAGCACACAAAGAAGGCCTTGYTRCCCAAGGCACTTCCACCRTKGTTAGGATACTCTACTTGAGAGGGSTGCTCTTGGATCTTTCCTGTAAATCCAGAAAGTTTAACAAAATTTAAAAAAAATAACTGGCACAAGATGGAATATTTGAAAGGAACAAGTCCTAGTAGGCAGGTCAGCTTCTCTTTTATTTTACAATGGCTTTTATCAGGAGTTTGCACTGGGCAGGATTGTACAAAAGGACAAAAGCCCTTCCTTGGATCTCCCACTCTAACTGGGGTGCAGCATAAGAGATGCTTTGTGCAGAGCTGCAACATTTCTGAAGAGATTCAGAGCTGTTGGTCATCCTTCATGACAGGCCACTCCACATCTACATAAAGTGGGAAGGGACATGCAAACAGGTATAAAAATGAMGTGTTCAGTTAGGTGAACACTTTGATGAACCATCCCTGGAGCAAGCAAGTTTGGGGAGTAACATCTAAATAGCCTCAGCCATGTGGGATGAGGAGCCACACCACAATGCCCAGCCCTGGTCATCACAACCTCACTGGCACCGCCCTCATAAGGGAATTTCACAAATGGCCCCCAAAATCACAAATTCCTCACTGCTGCTCTGGGATTCCTTTCCTAGACAATTCTGAATGAAAAGTCTCCACAGGCTCCCACCCTAGAGGAAACTGTTATAGGACTCAGACAGCAAAACARAAAAATAAACACCTTATCTACCCACTTTTGTGAGAAGTGGCTTTGGCCATTCAGCCAACAGCTCCAGATGAATCAGTCTGAAAACACTCGGGCACTGCAGACAGCCAGAGATTGTAACCACAGCTGCYCTGGCGAAGCAGGTGAGGCACTGAGGATTCCAAGACCAAAGGCACCCAAAAAATTCTGCTTGGCTATTAAATCACTCCTTTAAATACCAGCCATTTCTGGACACTTAAAAACATTTCCTGGAAATCTCCACAGTAACTTAGAACCATCTGTTCCCAGAGTAGCACAAGTTACTGATTACAAATGTCCAAATGTGACTTCCATACACCAGAACTATTCTAACCATTTATTAACTTCTTCAAGTTTATCATTAGTAATTTCATGCTTTAAGGTTTTTAATGGAATGCCTACTTTACACATTCCACAGTAAAAGCATTTTAGCATGCTTGCCAAAACTCCTATTTAAACATGACCGATTTCAGGTTTTACCACATAAAATATAAATAAGATGGGATGTTTATATTATTTAGGTTTTGTATCCTGCTTTCTGACTGCCCTACCTCATTGTCTTGGTTATTTCATTGTAATTCTTACCGAGGCAAGGGTTGGTTTTCTCATAATACACATTTACCATAATAGTAAAAAATTAAAAGGACATAACAAATAATGCAACAACCTAAAGAAATGACATATTTTTAGGACATTAGTATCTCACCAGAAGAAAATGTTGAATCATTATTTTCAGCTTGACTGACAAGCAAAGAAGATCTACTCTAACTGGCAAAGAATCAGGAAAATCCAGCAACCACGGCACATAGTATGTCCACTCATCCCACTCCCATTGCCACTAGGTTTGAGGAATAATTAAATTATTGGAAACTGTTTTGAAACGGTAATCGTCTGATTATCTCAGTATTTTTCATCTTCTAGCAAATAATGCAGCCAAATCTGTAGTTTTCCAATCACACCATCACCTCCAAAATATCACCACTGGAGAATGATAAATTACAGCACTTTGCAGAACACAGTAGAACCCCTTTCAAATCTCATTGTGGGAGATGAAGTATTTCTGGCCAAGTATTACAGCGTTCATCCTAAGCCTACAAAATACACTGCAAGTCAGACATTCCCAACCTTTGCACAAGAATCTGACTGGAACCATGGCTGAGGAAAAGCAACGAAGAGGCCAACGGTGCTAAAAAAAGATGCCTGAGACTGGCTCAGAGAAACTGGAATGACAGCAGCTGGCCAAAGGCTGGGGTCTTTATTGGGTAGGAAACCCCACGTCTTCTCAAACTGAGCAGATTCAGAGCAGAAACAGAGAAACATCTGTTAATATAATGCCAAYATTGCCAAAAGCCATTTTAACCATCAGTTTGATCACCAGCTTTGAAGGCTGGGATATGAAATTACAAAAATTCCACTAGGAAATGAAAGAAAACACTTAGTGACCCAATTCCATATTTGCCCACAGCATGCCAACCACTGCGTGGAATGAACGCTCAATCGTGGACTTATTAACATTCAAATTATTGCTTACAGGGTGAGTCATTGTCAGTTACGACCCAATTTACACCAAAAAAATCTGCTAACCAGTGCTACAGGTGTCGGCAGAACTACTTTGATTCTGAAGCCTGGTGTACACACGTTTGTATCAGTGTGACAATTGTGTCAGAATGGGGAAATGGAAGATTTTGAAGACTTTTTTCTTCCCTAGTCTGTGCAAGAAGCTCCTTCCTGCAGCAGAAGCCAGTTTTGGAGGGAGTAAAGGGACTGAATCGTGAACAAACTGAACCAGAAAGAATCTAAAATCCTCTGTCTGCTTTTGCTTGCAATAGCAGCAAGGYGGACAGGAAGGAAGGTCCTGGACAAAGCTTGGGCAGCTCCCACGGCAGAGCTGTTGGCACCTGCATGCAGGAGCAAACTGCACATTTCATTCCATACATGGGTGAGGTGTTCAAACAGCCAAGAGAAGAAAATCACATGGAAAAGGGAACTCAGTAGCCTCTGCTGTCCCTTGGAGCAAATCTTWTGTGTGGCCATAAAATAAAACACAAGAAAGTTCACCTCAACATGAGGAAGAACTTCTTTAAATCGCATGCAGGACAGTGCTGGAAAGGATTGCCTAGGGAGGGTGCAGAGTCTCCCCCTGGAGACATCCAAAACCCACCTGGATGTGTTTTTCTGTCACCTGTTCTGGGTGACCCTGCCTTGGCAGAGGAGTTGGACYGGATGATTTGCAGAGGTCCCTTCCAACCCAAACTATTCTGTGATTACTTTGTGCTTACATGCACAGGGACACAAATATTTGCTTCTCATGCTACTCAATCTCCAGCACTCAAGAGGCTCTCAAGCTTTTGTCTCTTAGCCAAGCCACTCATAGGCTGCTCTCACCTTATGATTCCAGGAAGTCTTGCTTCACTGCCAGATTCACCACAAGTTCACACTGTCATTTATTTGGGTTCTCTCCCCCTACCCCTATCTTCTCAAACATAAAACTTTATGAACACTTCCCGCTTCCCCCAAGCCTTTGTCTCTCCCTTCCACCCACAAGTGTGGTTCCCCACGGCCCCCCAGTACCCCCTCTGTTCTCACAGGCTCTCGGTGTCACCTCTGCCCTGTGRCCAAGGTTCTGGTTCACTGCATTTCTTGGAACTGCAGCTGCACAAAGCAAGCTTGAGGCCAGGGTCTGCCAGCACCCAAACCACAGAGGCCTCACAGCTGCAGCCCAGGCAAAACCAGCACAGGTCAGCCTGTTTCCAGCACCCAGACAGACATCAGGAAGCAGCACGGATTCCTGTGCTCAAGGCTGGCTGCAGAGCTGAGCATGGGGACAGCACTGAGGGGATCCTGTGTGACAGCCCAGCACCAGGGAATAACCAGCAGGTGCTTCTGCTACAAAGCTAAGAAAAACAAGAGGGGAGGAATGGGAAAAGCAAGGGTGGAGGTCACAAACTCCCACTGGGTTCCCTACAAGCGCCTTTTTTCCACACCCCAGGAAACAGCAGGGAAGACAAGGCTCCAGGGGTATGAGCCAGCATGGCAGGAGACTTCAAATTCCCAGGTTTAGCCAACTGGACAAGGAAAGCAAAAAAAAAAMCAGGAAAACCAGAGTAACCTTCTCTCTGCTTTTGCACACTTCCTGGGAATGTTTTACTTTTTTGTGTGCTTTCCAGAAACTTCTGTTCTCAGAATCCAGGATTTTCCACAGAACCTGATCTGATATTAACCCAATTACCCCTCCCCTCTTGTTTGCCCACTTGGCTGCCAATCAGCACATGACAAAACACCAGGAAGCCAAGCTAGAAACCCAACTCCAKGGCAATGGCCCTTGAAGATCCCTGTCATATATCCCACTTCCAAAACCAAGCCACCAAGCCAGCCCAGTGCTTGGGGGTCAAGGCAGGGGTTTTGCTCTGGT